AGGAATAAAAAGAGAAATGTACGTAGATGCATGCAGCGGCTTCAGATTTTCTGATACATAGGTGAGAGAGCGTAAGGTAGTTTGCGACCACTGATGGAGTGCGCGGTCATGTAAAATTCATGCTCAAGTACTACTGCTACTACACTACGTATGTTGCTACTAGTCGACGTTGCCATATACTACGTGAGGTGTATTTCTTGAACGTACGTACGTACGGGCGTCCGTTCGTTTTATAACGGAGGTAGCAAGAATCGTCGTTAAACATTGATTATTACATATATTCTTTCGCTTTCACTCGTGTGTTAACTCTTTCTTCCAGTCGCACAACTAATATACTAAATTAATTCCCAAGCTAACGTAGCACTCATCGGCTTTTGGTAATTTTATGAACAGCATAAAGAATAACTGCACCGCAGAGATGTATTTTTGCCAGTCAAAAGCTTGTAAATTGAAAAAAAAGTTACGCATTTCTTATTGACGGTCGTTATATTGGATCTGCCATCGATATATTGTTTGTAGCTCGAACACCAGTATTTAGTGTACACGATTGCCTTTCATCGCTAACTAATTAGATTCGCAAAAATATATTTTACTCGCATATATAATTATTCAACGATAATAAGTTAATCATCCTAGCGTTCAAATCATTATGTATCTGAAGGAAGTAAATACGTGGCCGAATAAATCGACTGCTGATAATAAGACTGAAAGGATTAATTAATTCTTTTTTTCTCATCGAGTGGTAGTTAAAAATATAGAGTTGTTCATAACAGCTGTGACGGTCAGCGAAATAACAATTAACTATCTATCGAATTGCATACTCGGTAATGAAAAGGATGCCAATAGTAGAGTTTATACATACCTAAATTAAATAAAACGGTTTCAATTATACAATCTTTGAATATCAATAGCGAAAATAGAAAGATAAGAGCTTTACTCGAGAACTAAAATATCTAACCGCCGGAGGAGAATGGAAGTTGAAATTATTGAAAATAGTCGGTATACCAGTCCAATTTTAACGAGGCAAAATCAAGTGACGTACGAAGGCAGTCCGCAATTTCTCTCTCTCTCTCTCTCTCTCTCTCTCTCTCTCTCTCTCTCTCTCTCTCTCTCTCTTTCGTCCGCAATGTGATATTCAGGAGAAAGCCCGTCAGGTCAACGAGCAGCACGACTAGAACTCGAAAATGCATATCATCTGAACGGAAGCCTAATGGAGAGGGCCATTCGTCTCACGGCGAAATAGAGATGCTATTAGGAGACACGCTGGCCTTCGCAGACCTCTGAATATAATTTTGCTAACTCCGTTTATTAGACTCGCTTGCTCATAGTTTCGTTGAGTTTGGGTTAGCACAAGTTTCACGCGTGTACATGTTTTGAATTTTCAGTTGCGTTTGCAAGAATAGCGAAATATTAAGTATGCCAAAGATTGTCCGACGATCGGATGGAACATCGCAAATTCTTTTTCGCGTGCGGGTAAAATCGTTCAGTACTCGGCAAGCGATAAAATAACTCTGAAGTACCCCCTCGTGAAGAAGAGAAATTCTTATCGGTGTGTGTCTGCAAAACGAGGAAGCCGAAAAACCACGTCGCCATAGCTCACATAGTGTGTCGTTACAAAAGACAGTTGTTGCGTGGGAGAACGCGGGCGTGCGAAAGAGAAACTCTCTCTCTCCCCCTCTCTTTTTTCGTGCCACAAATCGCCGAAAACGTGTGGGGAAATCCACGAAGGCATGTAACGGATATATATATATATATATATATATATATATATATATATGTGTGTGTGTGTAAGAATTCATTGCTGCGTGGAAAGGAGGTTTCAGGCGACTTGAATATCTCGAATATTTTTCCCTCGTTGAAAAAGCGAATACAGAGCGTCGCGAGCTCGCGAAAAGAAAAAAAAACGTCCTCGTCATTGGAGCATTGAACATTTGAAATTGCTGGTATGTCGTGCACCACCATCGATCTGGATGGCTGAATTTTTCCTTGGATATCAATTATTTATTGGACGATTTCCAATTTCACGTTATTGCTCGATGTGCCTTTTTTTTATTTCTTATTCTTCGCGTCATGAAGAGCGTAACGGTGTTTGAAATATTATTAGGCGAATGATTTATTTCTCGTGAATAGTAATTTTACAAAAAGTATCTTTTACGTTTATAATTAAAAGCTAGCTTTTTAGTTAGCAGGAATTATTTTCAATAAAATATTTGAAAAGTTATTTTACGTATTTGTATGTGCGAATTCATGTGAAATATTTCCTCGTAAGTGACTTAACAAAAGAAAAAATTCATTTATAAGAACACTTATATTGGAAAATATTTACTTGACAGTTATATTTCGGAAAAACGTATCAACGAAAATGCCTTTGACAGGATTTCATGGAAAAGAAAGAGTAGAGAAAATGAAACCTTCACTGATGGAAAATGAAATGGATTCAATATGTTTCATTCTTATTTTGGAAATATTTTTCAACTAGCCTGGCAAATCTTTTCTGCAAACTCTATCAAAGTGTACTTTATATCGGTTTTAAATGTACATCATACAAAATACATTCTTCGAAAGTAGTAAAAGTCAACCTTTGATCATCCAAGAGACAGAAACTGACTTTGGCGATTGCTCTTAGTAGTCTTGGAATATAATTTATAAATCCAAGTCTTTCATGCCATAAAGCACGAATCATACTTTCGCCCGAGTAGTTAAGCTCCGCGTTCGACCAAGCGTGAGTCGTAAAAATCTCATCGACTAAATACGTAAAAGAGAAAAAGGTAATAGTGCACGCAAAATTTGACGAAGCACGAGAGACGACGTTTCATTGCAGATAAGCTCCCAGCCGTTGGCAAATCAATGCGCACGTATGCCTTTCTGTGTCTCCTTTGCGAAAAATGTTTTTCGATTCGTTTGAGCGTATTTTTCCCTCGACTGAATATCGAACACGCGCTCTGACTCTTTGTATGCGTCTAGACGAGCGTTCGCACGCGGGTGCATGCAGCCGTTTCACGCTCGGATGGGTAATTGATTTCCGCAAGGACAATACCCGATGATTTGTGCCTTTTTTAGCCTCAAAGCTAATTAGTTGTACGCCCACCTGCGTGGTTTCGATGATCATGCTTTGTTAATTTATCACGTCGACCAATAGGAAATATCAGCCGACTGATAAATTTTATGAGGATTGTTCTTATTTTTTTAATATTTCTACTAATTCTTGCATGTGATCTGAGCCACGCGATTAATTTTTGTGTTTATGATGCAGTGCAACCATATGCACATTGTTCGTCCACATTTGTAGAGAGCCGTGTAGTCGCATTGTTTGTACTGTTTCGATTGTCAATTCACCAGATTAAATGCCATTATATAGAGCGTTCAATGACTAATGGAAGACACTGTTTCAAAATTAAGTGAAAAAAAGCACCTATCATAGGTTTGTGTTGTAATGAACGCATATCCGTGGATATTACTCATTATATTCTTGAGAACAAATCTTAGTAGTCAAAATTATTATTCGAAAAAGATTAAAGAAAAACGATACCATGTCAAGTCGTCGAAATGTACACGTGTTTGCATGGATAGTAGCCATTGTCTTCTTGAAACAGAATGTCGCAGTATTTAGGATCAGTAGTTGATATCAATATTCGGTCCGACACAAACTAAATAACAAATACAAAAACAGTCTTGATTAGCAAGATCTCTCATGTGCAACAAGCTTATTTATACCAGACTAAAGAGATGATCACTCCACTCGATGATATCTATTTTGCAAATGCATCTGCCGACAAGGTAGGCAGGCATCGAAAAACAAATCAAGCAATCTTGTAACAAGCAGAATACGATCAAAGGCCGCGCGCGTGGCGGGACATCGAACGCGTTGCGATCGGCCATCGAACAACTTGGAAGGGGCCCGAAAGCCAACTTTGCTACGGTTGGCAAAGGAATGCTTTAGCTTTCGCACGCGCAAGCTTGACAAAGGCGACGAGGGAAAGAAAATAGGTATGCGCTGCGGGCTTACGCTCGGATCCCTTGGTGTCTTGCGATCGCGCTCTCCTCTTTGCCGCTCCTGATCCAGTTGCGCGAAACGTTATAGGCCGTGGCTTTACTCTGCCAATGTTAATTGATTTTTGAGAGAGTCGTTTAACTTACTGACTGCGATTATCACGACCCTCATAAAGTTTCAATCACCTCGTAAACTTGTCGATCGTGATTTAATATTAACTCTCGGGCTCGCATAATATACATGTATATGAGTGTTTCATGACCACGGAACATAGTTTCCTACAATTTTGTGGTTTTCAGGGCATTTTTTTATGACGTCGTTCGTGGAATCTTGACATTACTATGTGAATTGCGTAATTTCATAAATCGGAAGTACAATACTTTTACGCTCATCAAATATTATTTTCATTTCACAGCGGATACATTTTTATATTTCTTTAAAATTTCAGAAGCCAATATCTTCAAAAAGAACAACCAGCAAGAATTTTAATGTAACGGTAATCTGGTGAAGTTACTTCGTTCGTAAATTAAAAAAGGTGCCCCACATGTTGACGTTGTTAACAGACATTCATTACACTCTGAAATATCGCTTTGAGGGTATTTTGACAGAAGTATATTTTACTCCAATACAAAGTGCAATTGTCGTTATCTAATTATTTTCAAAAAATTAGTAGTCAAAAGCTACTCTGTATTTTCAATAAATTGACAAGTAACAAAATTTAATAAAAACAGTTTTATTATTTGACGTATTTTGTCATGCATGTATGATAGGTAATATAGGTAATATTGATAGAAAACGAGTGAAAAACACCAATAGCACTCTGCTCTATAACTCTATCGGAAATTGTCTCTTTTATTTTCTCTCCCCTTGCATACAGTTAAAAGTTAACTAATATCGAGATTCACCGTAACACAGCAAAAACCGATAACCATCTTCAATAATTAACGAAAGTAACGAGAAAAAAAAAGAAGTAGAATGCAGTCGTTCATTTTGTTTTTGTTTGTTACAGCAGAGAAAATAGGCTGCTACAGCTCGATAGGAAGTCTAATCGCATGGGGGAAAAATGGCGCTGTTGGCGCTGCTCCTCGGGCTCATCCTCAATTGCCCAGCTGGTGAGTTCTATTACATTAGATCACATGTCAATTACAGAGACACTCACGCATACGCACTCACAACAATACTCATTTCACATATCGCACATAGACGCATGGAATAGGATTTTTGTTTCGAGATGATATATTGATCGCGTGAGATCGCTTGTTTTCCACCCGACGAGTCGCTCGTTTGTACACCGACCCGACAGGCTTGTTTTTCTGTGAATCGATGATTCATCGTCTACTATTGTTGCGTTTTTGCTGTTTGGATAGCAAAAACTCTCTCTTATTTTTTCATCTCGCCTTTCGCTGTGCATTTGTTCGATGTCAAACTACAAGAAGGGCTCTCGAGGAAGCAGTTTTATTTTTCTGTACACGAGAGGACACTTCGAGATCAAATGCAAGAGATGCGTTGGACGTCAGAAGAAGTAAATATATTGTTCATTCAATTATTTTGTTAGCAAATACTTTTCCATACGGTGCATCTTTGGCTAGCCGCATCTTCGATCATTGCAATCGCAAAAACAGATAAATGCTCAAAGCGTACTCCAACGACGTTCGTCGTTATCCGTTTAATTGCAATTAAGAAACTAATTTTCCTAGTTTGAAGGGATTACGTGTCTACGCGCGATCAATAAGGACAAAGGGATTATCCCAATTAACTATGTACACGTAATTCATGCGCAGAATGTAACTGTACTAGCATGCGAAACACATTTTTAGCTTGAATATTTATGGCTTTCGGATTGAATCCGTCATTATTTTCTGATCGGTCGAGGAGATGGCGGACATCGCTGTCAAAGAAAGACGTCTAGTTTCTTGGTCAAATAGAGAAATGATGGTTATACGGTTGTACGTCGACGACAATGCTGACGTGTCAATTCCCGATGAGCGCCTCTCGAACTATACGATAAAAATAAGCTTTTGTCAATCGTAGAGTTATTGGTTCTCGCATATCAATGTTTTCGTCATTTCATTAGATATATATAATATCCATGATCTTGTTTCAGTTAACTTTCTGAGAATTTGATTTCCCAAGTTGTTCTTGATCGAACCTCAAATATCAATTGTGAAGTAAGTGTTGGGCACTTCACGATAGCATACATAAACTTGATTCCATTACCAAGAAAGTTCGCGCAGCTTTGGCCGTCCTAAGCAGAAAGTTGAAATGCAAAAAAAACGTCGTCGTCGCTTCGCTCTGGGGTTCCGGGTATACGTGTGAGCTCAAAGAGACTTCTGATGCGCGAAAAATAAATGATCTTTCTCGGATATCGAGTATTTACCACGAGGAGGGGGGTGAAAGAAATCGTCTGGCCGAGAGTCCATTGGATTATTGATTTTAGCATTTTATAATAATTATTTCACTGTTTTATCGTACTCTTCGTATCAGTCCATGATGATTAATATTGCTTACACTGTGTTTCAATCAATTTCTCATTACGTTGAAATTTTGGTACATTGAATGTCATTAGCGAGTTCTGCTATTGGCTTATTCTTGACATAAGTTAATAGAAAAACTGTTCTATTTATTGAATGCAATCGAATATGACATGTAATTACCAAAATTAATGAGCTAGTTCAATCAAACAAATTCACCAACGCGCCAATAATTATCATTAAAATATATTTTTTTTAAATAATTATTTACAAAGATAAATGCATTGTAATTTACTTCGTTAAAAAACTTTTACATATTAAACTAGGGAAAAATATTAATGTAGTATTATATAATTAAAAAGATCAGCATTTTCAGGTCAGACTATAGAAAAAACAGTTTTCTTTCTACTAACGTTGATGAATTTTCAACACACAGTCGTGTGTACCATTTAAAATTCCACTTGCAGTTTTCTTTACATGCACCGATTTTCATTTTCGCCCGTTCTATTCTTTCTATGCCGCACAAGGCTGGCCATTAAATTTTAATAACTTTCCTTTTTAGGCTTTTTCAAAGCTGATATTGTACTCAGATAAATTAAAAATGTGCACTATGCTACAGACAGCCGAATGTTCGTTTCCTTCTTTATTATTCTCATTCCATGTACCCGCGACTTTGTTTCAAAAAATGTTCCATCCATTCCGGACTTACTTTTTTCTGGTAAATAAAAGGTACCGAGTATTCTTTACAGAGTTCGACAATGAAATTTGAAAAGAGACCGAACTTGCACACGAATGCATCAGTTAATTATATTAAAAGTGGAAAAAGCGGCGACAAAAATTTTTCACCATCACCCATCACAGTGAAAAAAATTACGTGGAATTACATGTAACAAGTCAATAAAAGATTTTTGTTAATCCAAAAAGTATTTTCAGAGTAATTCAATTAACTGTATCGACATGCGATCGCACTATATATAGATAAAACCAACAGCAATGCTCTCAATTAAACTTTTCTTCATAAACTTTTTTCCGGCATAGCAGTCGCTGGCACTGTTCGCCAAATTATTTAGGCATCCACGCACCCAACAGTCGAAGAGTAATTTCGCGCGCACGATCTACTATAGTTTCGCCGCCTCGTTTTTTAATTAAAAAAAGCCAAAGGGACGCGAAAACAATTGCGCATCACCACGCTACCTCACTTTTTAATTTTCTATTTACTCTCACGGCAGATTTTCTCTTTTTTTCGCGTATGCGTTGTCTCTGCGCAGTGGCGATGGAAAAGGAAAACGTATGCGCTCTACTTTCCCACATATACACGCAAAATTTCCCCGAGGTGCTCCCAGCCCTATGATTTACGCTTCACTAAATTCTTTATGAAATATATATGCGTGTATAAAAGGGTAGAACTGGTGCAATCTCGTAAACGTCGTTCCGGTGTGTCCGAATAAACTGGCGGCGCGAGGGCTATCGTCGGGAATTCCGCGGCTGCAGACTCGGATATAGATTTTTTTTCGTTTTTTTTTATTTCACATAGTACAGGTGTGTGGATTCCCGCGGATTATTTTTGTGGTTTATATGCGAGAGGGGGGCGAGGATGAGAGATCGAGACAGAAGTGTATATTTGAAATATAGATATTGTATGTGTGCTGCAAATAGAATATCAAAAACACTAGCCTTTTTTATGAGTTTTAAGTGCTTTTTCTAACAATGAAATATTAAATCCATTTGTATTCCTTCTAATTGAAAGTCGATTTTTATTTTCACTATTTTTAATTCAAGTGAAAATTTTCTCGATAAGGACTTTTAGTTATTTTTCATAAAATAATTTCGTCTAATTTTGTCTTGAATATGGCGTATATTACGACTAATATTTTCGAAAATTTTTGGAAGTTAAAATGTTAAAAACTACCGTGTGCCCATTAAATTTCTATAGAAAACTTTGACTAAGTCAAAATATAATCTAAAATCATTTTGTAAAAGTAAAAAGTAATCAACAAACTTTATGAGTCATTTAATTAATCAGTTATTCAAATGAAATAACAATTACAAGTAGCGGGACAATCAAGTTCATGCATACGTATATCAAATGTTAAATTACAAGCGTTGAAATGCAATGTCTGTCGGTATATTGGAGTTGGAACTATATGTGCGCGCACGACACCTACATCTACACATGCATGTATAACGCTTGTTTAGGTGTGTGTTGCTCAAAGTTTTGGTCGTTATGCTGTTCTCTTGATTTGATCATGCCCGAACTAAATGAAGTTTGATGATCTGCCCCCCTCCCCCTCACCTCTCGTTTGGGGCTTCTCTCTACTTTAATAACATTGAATCGATTTTAACTTCCGGATGCACAGTAAATCACCGATACTGTATTAATCGATGCTGAATAATTATACATATTTTATTTTTGATAAAGTCAAAAAATATTTAAAATTTTCGATTGGTGCTATTATTATCATTCAAGAGAGAAATAAATTACATTATTTTGTGATCAATGTCATATTATCTCAGGTATACGTTATTGATTAAATATTTGTACGAAATCTCGATTTATAATAACCGTAAATATTTCAATCCAAACGTTATAATTCAAACGTTAAATATTTCAGTAAACGATAATGCATTCCCACTGCATCCACTGGCATTACATTGGCTATGGAAATAAATATATGTACAACATTAGATATATTTATACAAGCAAACGTGCAGTGATGATTAAGGCGAAAAGCAAAATAACTTTTGCTGTACGAATACTGTCGATATCTTGCAGGGTTAATGAACATGGTATAATGAGTACGAAAGAGCGTCAAAGAGGCTCGAAACAACATGCAGCACGCAAAAACCACAGGCTAAATACCCAGCACCATTATGCTTCCCTTCAGGCAGAGCGAGCGCGCTCAAGCTCGCTGCTTCCTCTTTTTCTCCTTCTCGACGGCATACCGCGGAAATTTTATCAACATCATTATGTTTAAAGCGAACGCAAACACTTCGCTCTCTCTCTCCTTCCATTTTAATAAGGCGTTCTTTTCTGGGCGTCACGTCACCCATCACAGTGGTCGAGCACCATAATGTAAACCGCTTTTTCTCGGCGCGCTTGTATTGAAGAATATTCGCGTAAAAAAAGGGTCCTCGAGTATCCTTCACGAAAAGTCCTTTTCTCAAGGATGCAAACAGTGCTGTACTTGACGTCTTCTATTCCTCCATTCAGACAGATTTCGCAGCGCTTTTGACGGCTAACCTTTGAGCGCTACTAGGCACAGTGCTTGATCGTTTTTATTGAGGTTTGTATTCTTCTCCAAAGCTCCAGGTTTTTTTCGTGTGGATGAGTCATAGTATTTTGACTAGTTGAAAGGGATTAATCAGTTTAACTCTTTTCACGACTCTCAAAACGTTTCTGTATTTTGCTCTAACTTACTTGTTTTTATGGTTATTTATTCTGTTTTTTTTTCTCTCATTACTTTTAAATGCAATACATTTTAATAATTCCTTTGATATTCTATTTCATTTGATTTAACTAGAAGTCTGTAAAGTCTTTTTGCATTCTTTACTATTATTCTCTTTGTGCATTAGCATCCGAAATTACTATTATTTCGAAACAATGTGTAGATACTTTTTGCAATGCCAGTGTGGAATTTTAT